GAATAAAAGCTCGCGAGCTTCGTACTCGCGTTCAAAGCTCGACTTCCGGTTAATTAACGAAATAAAAGCCCGAAGAGTTTAGTGCCACAACGTCAACAATATATAAATACGCATAACTTTCAGCCCGCTCTGATTCAATCAACCAAAAGGATAAATGGGCAGATAAAGGATAATGTAGAGTTATTCATGAGCGCTAAAAGTCCGCGTGGGAGCTGCACAAAAGTTGTATAGCTCCGTAGCCCGTGCGGTGGAATGTTTTAATTTTTCATACCTTGAGTTTCGTGATTGCTGTATTATACACGTTTAAATCTATTTTCGCGGAAGTTGGCGGCATTTTTTCCCTTGACGCTCGGCAAAAGTACACGTCAAGGAAAAATAATGAGAAATAACGAGTTTTATATTGGATATTTCATATTAATGCTCCAATAAGGCGCTCGATTCGAAACGTCTTACGTGTCAAGCCACGTCGATCAATTCGCTATATCTATAAATTCGATTCTGATGTTTGAAATTGAATTGTATAATTATTTTTTAATTTGACCTTGGTACTGCATTATAAGAAAGTCAACGGTCAATTGTGCGAGTCGAGTGGAAAAATACAAATAAATGGGCGTAATAATTGCATTTGAATTAAGTAGGGAAGCTTTGTCGGAGCTCAAGGTAAATAGCACATTATCAAAATATGAAGAGGATAATGCCCGAGCTCGCAACCACGTGTATACACTCATAATATATAGGACGAGTCACCTGCTGCGCAACTCGATCGATGCCTTGGTTATATATATTACAGCGGCGCATCTGCTGCGGCGTCCGAGGATCATCATGGCTCTCTTGGCGACTTTGAGTGAAAAAAATGACAGCTGCTCTGCTCGGGGCACGTGCTTATCCTTATTTGTATACATTAATCGATCGCGTACTCGTCGATTCTTCGTTTCAATTCTCCAATGCTATTCTCGAGCACAACATTCGATGAGTTAATTCAAGGGTACAAAGGTATTTTAAGACACTCGAGCAGGTGTATTGGCGCGTTTCTGACCATTTAATTTGCTTTCCCTTTGGAGCTTTAAAAAAGGGATTTCGAAGGTTTCGAATTTTAGCGCGTCAAGCGTGTAAACAAAGAGAAGGAAAACAAGAGCGGATCGCGAGGCACTCGAATTGCTGCCTCGCTATAGGGGAAGAAAGTCAATTATCCGCGCGTGATCGTAGCGCACGTATATAGCCATCTCATTCCGCGGATAAAGAGCGCGGGACTGCTGCGGAGAACACTCGAAAGAGAGATGGGTGTGTATCTCTCAAGCGCGACGGCGTAACGCGCGCGCGAGCGACATCCGCGCCGGCTTTATAATTTACTCGACTGCAAGGACGCGAGCGAGCAGCACACTCAAAGACTCTCGAGGTTACCTTTTTCTCTCTCTTCTCTCTCTCTCTCTTTCTAGTGTTTCTCAAGCTTACGCGACTTCGACGTCGTATATCTTATAAAAAATTTTTTACTCACGCGTATTTTCCGCGCCGTAGACGCTCGATCTCTGCAAAGTTGAAGCTTTTTTTTTGTCGACAACTAACTCGGTGACGTTTCATCCAGTGCCATCCTGTAACACAAGTACAAGAGGTGAAATACGATTATTCAACCGAGTTTGAGACATACGTATTATGCACCTATACGATCCTTTGAAAGAGTATCTTTAATTTCACCCCGGCATAATGAGTTTTGCCCTTTTAAAACTTGTTCCTGGCGCGCGCTAGCTCCCCCACTAAGAAGCGCGTATTTTTAATAAAGTCGCTCCTTTTATGTCTCGACCTAGTGTCACAATTCTCGAAACTCGAGTAACTTTGGACATTGAAAATGTATTATTTGAGTCCTTGCGCGTAATACTCCGTGTCATACATAATTATTCGTAATATTTTTGTTCGCATTAATTTTTAAATTCACGCCAACTCCTAATATAATACTCGTTCCCTTGAGCGCGATCCCAGGGCACTGACGTCCGAGAAAGTTACTTGAAACTTTTAAAACGAAATGTCGGCATATACGCAGCCGCAGTGAAAATTAATAAAATCAAAGCGCTCGAGGCGTTAAAAGTGACGACAAGTACTTGGTTCGATACGCATAGAGGCACGATGATGCAGTAGTTCACGATTATACGACTCGAACTTGGCCGAATTTCGGCTAAATTAAAAAAGCTTCGCGTACACTCGACGCCCGGCTTATAAAATGTCATATTACACGGTGGGATAGTGGGGCCGAGCTTTTACGCCGCTACATCCTCTCTTCGTAGCAGATACCTATAGCATGTGTAAGTGCACGTGTGCCGAGATAAAAACCCCGAGGACGATAACGAATTTTTCTAATTCGAGGTAAAAACGTTGACTCTCGCCTGTACGCAAAAGCGCGTATATATACACCTACAGGTAGGTAGTAGCCCGCGAGTAAAAGCAACAAAAGCTCTGGTATAATAGGTGCTGCGTACATTTGCTGCAGCAGCAAGAGGGACGAAATATTTTTCATGTGCCATATTTTTCCTTTTTCTCTCTCTCTCTCTCTTATAGCTCTTCATACATAAGTCAGCTTTTCCGCCTCGATAATTAGAGCGATGGTACATAGCAGCTGCTCGTTATAAGCGTCACCGGTGTCGGAGTGAGCTGCAGCACCTCGCGCATAACATGCATATACGAGCGCGCATGGACATTTATTTCGGATTTCGCTAATGATGTTTGCTTTACGGCCTTTCTCCTATCCATCTATCCCCGCATCGCCTCTCTCTCTCTCTCTCAGTTCTCTGTTTCTCACTTTCTGCTATATGTACATATCCTAGTAGCTGTACTGACTTTCCGCTGGGTACATAACTCCCATTGGCATACACACAGACGTACACACACACACACATATATATAACAGGCACGAAGCAAACATATCGCGCGCGAGCAAGCGCATTATACTCGTATATGTTTCGAGCTCGAATCGCGTATACGAGCAGCGAGTGACGAAAAAGCTCCGTATCGACACACGCCACGCGTCATCGAGCGATAAGTTTGCCGCTTTATTTTCTTCTACCCCCGAGCGATTCTTTTGGCCGACATTTGGCACTCTTAACTTTTCCGAATAGCTTTTTGTTTGTTACACACACAAATGAATCGATATATATTGCGCGTCCTCCGTTTATGTGTGTGTGTGTGTGTGTGTGTGTGTGTGTGTGTGTGTGTGTGTGTGTATAAACACGCTCGTATCTGTCGAATGTATACGCATCTCGGTGGCACTTGGCTCTTTTAATCGAGCTTGATTTACAAGCGAGCTACAAGCTGTCTGTATTTTGCTATTTGTTTCGCAGCTTTCACTCGGCACACTGGCATTGCTGCCGCCTCGTGACAGTTGAAATTCGAATGAGGATTTTTTTATTCCATTAGCCCGAGTGGCAATTCGTGTATATGTATGCGTGTGCGAGAAAATGCCTGTATGTGCGTGTGTGGTGGATAGCGGAAATTCCCGTGCAAACCGTATACGTATGTATAAGTGAATTAAAAATTTGAAAGGATACATGCCAGGCCCGCTCGCGAGAGATGCTATTGAGAATCCATTCGAGGCTAGGCTCAATTGACGTTGCCGCGGCGGACGCGCGATCCTGAGTGGGAAAATTGATTAAACGTCCGTGTACGATTGATAGATTGTATATTAAATATACATGCACATGGCCAAAAGATTTTCCTCGCTGTGTCTATTATATACCTCTCTGCACTGGGAAAGAGTCCAATATATTCGCACTCTGATAACATACAGTTGCGAGCGATTTTCAATTCTTCGTGATACACACGAATTTATAAAATGACTTTCTTTTTTTTTCATCGCTCCTTTTTTCAATTTTTTTTTTGCCCGGGTACTCACAGTAAATGAAAAATTTCAAAGCGTAAAAAAGCCGATACTCTTCGGGTGCATAGTGGCATCGTACAGTCGACGTCCTCGTCGCTGCGAGCACTGCAGAGCAGCTACGTTGTCGAGAGGAGGATAATTTTTGAACGACACCCGTGACATAATTAGATTCAAGTTTTCCTTGTCGTGCGTCACGCGTCACTTTTCATTTCGCAATCATCGGTTCGGCTCTTTTTCTTTTTTCTTCTTCTCTCCTTGACGAAGAAATATATATATGCCAACCAAAAAAGGGCTCGTCTTTTCGCAAGTGCAATTTTATCATCGGTATAATTTAAAACATAATATTTGGTGCTGCGTGCTCGCTTCAAGTAGAAGTGTGTAATAATTGCGCGGCTGTAATGCGAAAAGTATAAACACGGCACATAAAGCCCTGTATGCGTGCGGTGCAGCGATAATATGATTTCAAACTTTGCGAGGCCCGCGCGTGCGAGATATATTATATTCCGTGTACATATACGGGACGCTAATACAGACTCCACCAAACTGTTTGGCCCGATGCTTTCTCAGCTGTCATCGTGTGTTCTAATTTACTTCCTTTCGCGCATATGTATATAAAGTATCCGGCTTGTTCGTCGTGTGTTCGTGAGTGTACACGAGAGCTTTTAATAATAGACCTGCAGTGCGCGCGCCCGAGCTTTTCCCATGAGTAACGTATTACATTCTGTAACTTTTACCGGGCGATGCCGTGTGTATGTACTCATATATACGCTGCATCATAAACTCGCAAATGACGTTTCGCGAATAAATAATACTTACACACAAAGTCGAGCTCTCTGTGTCTGTAGCCCTTATTGCTGGCTAATCCGAGCTTTTAATCAAAACTGCAGATCCCCTTTGTCGTTATAAGTATATAATTATAAACAACTTCCAATTTATACCAATGTGGTATATTAAATATAAAATATGAACCACGTATATTTTGCGTACTCTATTTAAGTTTATCCCCTTTGTGTGTCTTCATTCGTGAGCACTCGTAAATTAACCGGGAAAAATGATGTCCACAGTACGGAGGCGATGCAGGTCGCAGACTGTCGAGCCAGGAGCGGCCACTAGAGCTCCAGGAACAGCTGCTCGAGGCGCTGGGCTACAAGGAGCCAACTCGGCGCGCAAGACTTGGCCTCGACGCCGAACTACGACATCTCATACGCTTCCACGTGGGTGAGTATTGGCTTTGCTTTACACGATTATTATAATCTTCGAGTTCTTGTCTTTGGTGCAGAGCTCGAATTTGTAAAATATTTATAATACGCGCGTGTGGACGCATATAAATGCCGGGCTCGCAAGCGAATCGCTGCCAAAAAAGTAAAAATGGAAACTTGAAACTCTCTTATCGCGCTTTAGCTGCAGCAGCGCATATCCTATTGATATTAAATGTCATTAGCCTTTCAATCTTCTGGTTTATGTTTATACACGGCTGAATAAATAAACAAAGATTGACTCGGCTTTGCTTCGCTGCAAGGATATGGGATCGAGAGCTTTGAAAAAAAAAATATCTATATGGATAATATCGACCTCTTGGGTAAATAAATATCTTGCAAAAAGAGAGATTGAATTGAAAAAATTTGTGTTTATACGATAAAAAAGCTTTTTTTTGCAATATACGCTCCAACTGATGCACACACGTATTTTTTTTTCTCTATACATGCTGCAAGTTCACATACGTGTGCCAAGTGCATCCCTCTGTATATATGTATATAACATGTTTGTATGATATATAGGACCAGCGGCACCGGTAAACGAGCTGCACGGATACAGCAGATGCGGCTACGCTCTCGTACTGAAAGGATTAGTCTTTCCACAATGGAAGAAGCGAGCACTAGCCGTCGTTGGATCACGGATCTTTCTTTATCCTGGTAAGCGCCCACGCACATGGCTAAAAAAAAATATACATCTACTATCACACACACACACACACACATACAAGCGACTGCGCGAGGCCGGCGCGGAGGAGAAAAAAAAAGATCAAAATTGATATATAAAATGAAAAATCTCTCGCTATTGCGAAACTTTAATCAGAAAATATATAGCTTTGGCTAGCTACGTGTGTGCATGTGCACGCGAGCGCGACGCTGTTCTGTGATATTGCAATTCCTCGGCAACGCGATATTATACTATTGTTGTTTTTGATTAATTTTCTTTTCTCTTTTACTTTTTTTGCTCCTTTTCAATTTTGAGCGCGTGTAATAATGCACACATGTATAATAACTTTTTTTATGCTGCTAAGTTGAGTCCAATCAGGCGAAGCGAGAACGAGAGATTATTTTCAGCGTCCCCGAACGTGTGCTTGATGCGTGATTTTTACGACTTTTTGGCTTTTATGGCTCGAGATTTTTTTCGTTATATAAATGCACTTTATTACTTCGTCTTAGCCTTGGCAAGGCGAAGACAGTAAAAATTTTTATTTATAAATCCAGCCCTCACGCGACTACCGATGATATTATGTTCAACGTGTGCGACAAAATATCTATTCGCTTATCGCTCGTTACTTTAGAACGTCGAAAATGTAGATTAACGAAGCCGGGGCATTTGCAGTTTGCATCTCTTTTTTCAATTTATCGGTGAAATGAGCCCGGAATGTCAAGTATGTCATTGTTTATTTTTTTTTCTTTTTTTTTTATCAATTCAGTGACTGGCAGACGTCAGGATAACAACCGTCCCATGAATTCGCCTTTTGCATCTGACCGAGCTACAAACGATTGACAAAACGACCAATATTTTCGCGAAAACAGTAGTAGTAGCTCGTTGCAAAAGCAGAAATACAGCAAGAGTAGGGGAGAGAAAAAAAATAATAATAGCGTCTGTTGGTACTTTTTTGTTCGACTGATTCGGGAGAGAAAAACGATTGCCAGGCCGCAGTGCATGGTATTTTCAACGAGCTGCGCCTCTGGTCGAAGGCTGTATTGACGAGTTCGGGGAATTTTGCTGATAGTTTTTCATCGTTGAATATGGATTTTTTAAAGAATAAAAAACGTCGTTCTTTTCTTTTTTGAGATTCGCAACAAGATTACAACGGAATTAAAGCAAAAAATGTTAGTTGTTAAAATATTTTCGAAAACCAATTGATTTCGTTGGGTTATAATAAAAAAAGAAGAAAAAATGAAAAGGAAATTTGTTACAAATTGAACGTATTCGTTGGAAAAAGAGTCGTGGTAATGAGCAATTTATTCACCCTTTTCAAATACCTCTTTTTTTCTCCTTCGAGCACCTTTCAATTTCATTTCCAAGACGTTTGGAATCTCATTGAAGAAAATAGCCGCACGTTGCAACAGCTATAGAGCTTGCAAGCTCCATATCGTAGAAGCCAACCCTGTCCATTCAGTCGGTATATGTAATTAAAGAACTGTGCTCGTTTTCTCACGAAAGAAATAGAAGTAGACGGAAAAAGGGACTTGCACATCTTTTTTCTTATCGAATTGCTAAAACTGATTCGACGTTTCGGGGACGATAAAAATAAAACGCAGTAATGCAGTATAGCTACATTATAAACAGAGAAGCAATCCTCGAGTATTATATGTATGGAATTTTGTCATCAGCATGTACGGAATCGAATCCGGAATGGATGGATTTGACTGGTGTCTGCTCCGGTCCATCGCGTCTTGGCAAATATGTTTTGCGCGTCACCGGACAGCCGGCTCGGCTTACGACTCAAGTTAAATCCAGTGGAGACGAAGGTATCAAAGAGGATGATACATGCAATCAAGAGCAACAGCAGCAGCAGCAGCAAAAGGGAGGCAAGGAAGCACGTCACTTATATCTCGGCTTTCATCACCCTTGGGATCGCGAACTTTGGAAAGTTTGGATCAAACAGGTAACTTCATCTTATAAAATACACTTTTCTTTTCGTCGACTTCTTTTCCCTGTTACATTATAATGCTCATGTATACTCAAAGGCGGAGTTTTGGCCTCTGCACGTGTTATTGACACGTAATTGGACACGTAATATTACGAAAGCTGCACTTTGCAATTCGAGCTATGTAAAGCTCGGAGTTTTGGTTTTAGCAAGTTGGCGCGTACTTGCTTCTCTGCATCTCACTCGTAAGTTCTTATTTGCGCAGACACGTCCCTGTTATTATTTAACTGCACGACAGCTGATTGAAATTTCCTTCGAGTAACTTACGAGGCATTTCTATATACTTTTCGCGAAGTTGCGCGTGTCGCCTGAGAGCTTAAACAAGACGTCTTTACAGGAAAATTATTATCGCCACCTAGTCTCTCTTTCTCTCTCTTTCATTCCTTGCGTACTTGCGTACTCTGTTGCTGCTGCTGCTGCCGATTAATACGCACGTACAATTTGTTTTTGCAAAGTTTTAGCGCGTCGTAGACAGCTCCGAACGAGTGCTTAATTTGTTGTGCGTCTCGCGACGCATTTAAACGCGTGCTGCATAATTGTCACCTTTTAAATTCGGTCCAAGTGCATCAGCTACGGAGCACGTATTTATGCGGATGTAACCGCGTACGTGCCTATATCGACGAATAAACTTTTCCTATATACGCGCTCATTATAATTGCGGTGCTTACAAACGTTGGCCATTATTATAAAAGCTCGGGAGAAGGAAAAAATAGCCCGAGACCCGCGAGCTTTTATATAATTGCGTAGGTGTATACTTATAATTAGTTGAAATTAATGCATAGTTCGCATGAAATCGGTTTAAATGCGTATAACAGCCGCGTGCGTGCTTGCAGTGCGAGAAAGCGGAATACGTGCGTTTGGTGCATTATCAGAGCCAGCCCCCGCAAACAACATAAAATGATAATTAATTTTGCTCATCAAGTGCATAAGGCCCCCCAAGAAAATAAGTTAATTATGCGCTTCGAGCCTAAGTGCTGCTTCTGTGTGTATTAAATAAAGTACATTTGAAATTCTCATACCGCAAGCGTATCAAGTGTGTATACTAACCAATCTCGCTCTCTTTATCGCGTACACGTTATACTTTTACACCAAGTCCGATAGATAAATATAATACCTGCGCCGGCATAGTTATTTGTATATTTGTATACGTGCACGTGTTTTCGGTCGAAACTGTATGGCGCGCGCTGCAAGCTCAATAGACATAGAACCATCAAAAGCTTTGGCAAGCCTCTTAATAATCTTTCATCCGTATGCGGCGCAAGCGGCGAGAACAGCGGCATCATTTCCATGCGCAAGCTTGCAAGCTCTTTTACCCGCGGCGGCACAGACCTTTCTCTCGTATATTTCAAGCCTCAAACAGAGGCATAAAGCTTTTCTCACTCTCGAATCCTTGCCCCCCGACACCGCGGCTGCAGCATACATACCGTGTGGTTTCAGCTATGGCAGGCACAGAAAAAAAAATTCCAGCCGTTTTCGAACGCTCGCGAAAAGAGAAATATGTGTATATGTGTACGAGGAGCCTTTGATGATACGACGCTGGGAATACCAGAGCAACGGATAACATATCTAACCCGTTCCTTTGGCCCTTTTCCTGCTGATGCTGCTGCTGCTGTTTGCGCGTATACTTCCGCCGTATAACTATACGTATAGATATATTCACACACGCATTATGTGTACCTGCTCTTGTGCTCGGGATAATATTTCCCCTCCAGGCGCTGCGCGAGTCTACACTGTAAGGGTATATTGCCAGACGTCTTTTTCCTGAACTGATATCGGATATGAATTTACCAAGACGTTTGCATAAGGACCTTCTTTGCATCTTTAAGAAAGAAGGAAGCTCGAGCGCCGCCGCCGTCGCAGCTGCTGCTGCTACCACCCCATGCCCGCTTTATACTATATACCCGAGAGCGAGCGAGCGATTCTCGTTTACGGCTGCTGATGCTGAATACTGTATTATATACGTATAGTCGTAGCGGCAGATTTCATTTTGGCCATGGTGCTCAGGGTCAGGAAATTATTCAACGTATCTCGTTTGTGTACATGTACAACGTGTAAGAGTGTGTATAGTTCATGTATGTAATTAACTCGAAATATCGTTGATGAAATAATTCTCGCAAGCCAAGATATCATAAAATGAGGTTGAGATCACGGAGCCGTACGAGAGTGAGCTTCTCGAGTAATGTATTATTATTATTATTATTAGTATTATTATTAATCGCAAAGAGCTCGCCTGGAATCTATCGTGGAATATCTCGCTCGCGAGCGCCAAACGCCTTTCTCTAATTTAATTCGCATTATCAAGTGTACATGCCACACATACGCGCGCACACGCGTGTATATTACATGCATATAATAGACGATTTCAAGTTGGCCAATTGTATTTTGAGAGTTGGAGTTGCTCTCGGCTGTTGCTTTTGTCAGCTGCGATTCGCCAAGCGAGTTGTGTGTTTCATGAATCGCGCGTATATAGTTTTTGTTCCTCGCCTAAAATATATACGTACATACATCGTGCGGTACACAAGCGAGCGCAAAGTCGAGATTTTAATTAAAGCCGATCCTTGTCTCGATTTCACTACTGAGCGAGCTGCTGTTGTTGCTGGCGCTGCACACAACGCCGCGCGCATAATACCATATATATGAGGCGAAATATTTCGCCTATTATACGAATTTAGAGCGGGCAAATTACGTATAAGCCTCATCGTATTATCTCGCAATTCTGCCTGGATCTCGCGCTCGAGCTTGCCGCATACACGTAGCAGTGCATAATATTGTCTACAGCTGCGCAGCATCTGATGCACTCGCTGCAGCTCTATACGTTATGTATACCAGTCGCGCGTCGAGCGAAACGAGGATACGTCGAAACAAAATGCATAAACGCAGAAACGAGTGCACAGTAGTGCCGCGCGCGACATTTGTGCCCCGTATCAATGAGTTACGGCAGATCTTATGATTTTTGCGCAAACATTTTTCTTCGACACACGCGGAATAGGCTAAGCGAGACGTAATAGACGTCGCACATGCGCACCTGTATGAGAGAATAACTATAACGTAAAACGACCTGGTCTTGTTTTTCTTCTGCTTCTTTCTCGTTCCGTTATATTATCGTCTGCAGTTCCAACATTATATGAGATACGTATATATACGGCGTGCCTTACTCGCGGCGGCGACACATCTCTCTACGTCGAGCATGCACGAGTGTGTGTGTGTGTGTGTGTATGCGTGTTTATGCACCTATAAGTGTACGCGATGCCTGCGTGTGTGCGTCTTATTCGCCAAGCGTATCAAGCTCCCGCAGGAGGTGAGCTACACGTACGACAAAAAAAGTAAATATATATGAAGAAATAAAAACACTCAGTCAGTCGGCATTCGCTCTTTCGAGTGACGCGTCGTAGTGTTTTTCTCCTCGTCGAGTCGTAGCTTTTTTTTCGTTGTATATCGGAAAAAAGGTGAATGATAGAGAGGCAAAGAGAGATAGAAGCAGGTATAATCTTTATAGCTCATTATAAAATGGTGCGCGGATACAGCAGATAGGGCAAAAGAGAGAAACGAACTCTCTGCTTAATAATACTACTGTGATGAGTTCCGTGCATACATTGAAAAATGGGACAAAGGAAAATTAAGAGAGAAAAACGAGAGAAAGAGAGAGAGAGAGGGAGAAACGGATCCGTACCGCACCCGCCGCTCCTAACTCCTTTTCAATTTTACGATGTAGAAGAGCAGTGGTGCAGCAGCATAGAGCCGAGGAAACTCTTTGATCGGATGAAGGTGGAAGAAGAAGAAGCGGAAGGCCTCCTAGGCTTCTGTGTGCCTTCTCGGGCAAATCTTATCGACGCTGCTGCTACTGCTACTGCGGTACGTTGCAAGCCTATATTCGCTTTCTCTCTCACTCTCTTGCGACAAAGAGAAATGTCGAGAACGAAAGGAAGGGCTGTGGAATCGATCCTTATTTTCGCTCAACGGAGCTTTCCTCCCTCCTCTGTCTCTCTCTAACATTGATACGAGACTACTCTGCAGCTGCGTTGCATACTACTATACGTATAATAGAGCTTGTACAGATATCCAATCTGCATACCACATGAGCAGCCAGAGATATCGGATTATCGTTCTCGATTTTCCCCCCTTTTTTTTCTTTTCCCTGCAACCAAGTGGCGCAACGATGTGAGTGTGAGAGATAACGCGATATATGCGACATCGTGTTTCGCAAATCAGTAAGTGTATGTGTGTAAGGTGCATCTGATTACTTGCGAGTTAGACTCGCAACTGATTTTGTAAGTTGAGTCTCGATGGGTAATGAAATTTTGTCTGTCGAGCAACGAGGACAATATCTTATATCCATGAAAACGGTGAGCTCGCTTTCTCTCTACATGTAGTAATACGTTGACATGCTTGAAATACAATCGATCGGTATGTATTTTAATTAGTATTAATATAATTTATTAAGGTTCATTTACAGCGCAGTCATAGAGTACTTCAAATGCAGTAATATCATATTGCGAAATAATATTCATGCTAATTAATTTTATCACCTTACACAAAACTCGACGAAATGTAATTAATAATTACACGCAAGGTGACACGTACAACGCGATGCATGATTTTTCACCTGGCAAAACTTAATGCAATGAACGAAAAAAGAAATAATCCGGAGAATAAAAATAGGGTATGGAAAGGAAGAAAGAGAGGAAGGAAAAAAGCGAAACTGTACGCGCTTACACGAAGCCGGGAGTGTAGTTAAACGCACGCGTGCAGTGATTTTAACAAGATTACGACATTGCCGTCGCTGTTCATGCCGCCGCGTAGCCGCGCGCGCGCGCGCCGGTGGTCGCGAAATCGTCGAGGCGGGCGACTTCTCTTTCTCACTCTCCCTCTCTCTTTCTCACACACTCTTTCTCCGCGCCGCACACTCGCTTTAATGCAACTCGTTAACCTACATTACCTTTGAAAAAAGCGAAAAAAAATCGTCGAAGCAAAATTGTACACGTATGTGGGGATTATTAATAAAAACTACGGCAAATAGCAGTAGGTGGGAACGTGAGGAATGAGAGAGCAAAAAGAGCCATCTGGCGTACGAGTGGGGATCGTTAAGGGTAAAAAATCATTAGTCGCGAATACAACGAGCTTTCACGAGAGTGCCAGAGTGCGTACTACCAATCAAAAGTGATGTAAATTCAATTAAAAGCTGTAAAAAAAAAATAAATAAAGAAAGAAGTAAATAAATAAACGAACGAATGTTTTTGCACAGTCGCAAATATAAGAGCATGTAGTATCGTAGTACATTTAACGACGAGCACGCGCTGAGGACGATTTCTTTCGTTTTAGTTTGTTTATTTTTTTTTAATCTGTTTTTTATTTTTCATAAAAGCTCGCACTAGTTTTTACGTTCACTGCGTTAGGCTATACGAGCATGTACACACGTGAGCAAGCTCGAGCAGCGGAGTGTCTCGCGCGCATCGCAAACAGGTATTATTGGTTTCTCTCTCGGCGGAAAATGTGCGACAGCCAAGTCAAGCGATAACAACGAAAAAAAAAGCGAAGGGAAAGGAGAGAGACAGAGCTTTTTTTACCAACTTACAAAAGCTCCGAGAGATACTGTATATTATATCGACAGCTTCTCACTGTCGTGTCGAAGCTTTTTTTTTGCTCTCCTTTCTGCGCAGTCTGTATACATGTACTCATGCTCGTAGTAGTAATATTACCAGAGATAAAAGACGGATATTCGGCGACTCATGACGTGGTCTAGGTTTTATCTCCCTCTTTCTTTTTCTTTCGGTGTCGGCTTGATAAGTTTCTTTTCATTTCGCTACGAAAGAGAGGTGTGCACGCAAAATTGAAGGTAAACGAAATGGGTTTTTACCGTCTAATCCTCGCCAGTCATCAATTATCCATCATCTTGGAGTTGTGCCGCCGGCTACATAATATACGCTCGACCAGCCAAGGAAAGACGTCGTGCAGAAAAGAGGCAGAAGCAAACAAACGAAAAAAAACCACAATAATAATAATGATACGTCAACGTAGTAGCAGCAGTGGTAGTCCGAGCACTCGGGGGAATTAAAAAATTTTCATATTTAAAAATACATGCGCGCAACGCTGGAGTCAGTAAGCAGCAGTAGCAGCGTCGTGTGCACTGCACAAGGAGCGTATCATGAATAATTTAGCCTTAGTACCACTGCCTCACATGCATTCAACATATAGAGGCTAAGCGTCACGCACTGTATATATCTAAATATTTTTTTGCCTCCTTTATTTGTAAACCATGTAGTTACGTTGAAAAAAAAACAGCGCGAGAGAGAAATAATATTTACGTGAAGACGAAGCTGATCCAGCGTGAGAGCGGCTGACTCGTTTCGGTTCATTTCCTAATAACTAATTTACAGTTTGTATTTAAAAAGAAAAAAAATACCAGCTAAGAGCAGCTCGTCGATGATGGATAGAAAGTTAATTATCGCTTCGAGCTTCGATGCTCGGTATATACCTACGCGTACGAGTGAAAAAGCTGCGATCGTCTCGTCACGCTAAGAAAAATGAGGGGGAAGGGAAAGCTCCTTCGTACGTACGGTATACGCGCGGGGATCATCAGTAAGCCATATCTTGCTCTTTCTCTCTCTGTCTCTCTTATACTCGAAAAGACAATGAAGCGAACTTGCACCGCCGTCTGTTCTACGCGTCCAACTCTATAAGTCTCGGTGCGCTCCTACGAGTACGTATAAACGAACAGGAGGAGTATATCTAGCAGCTTAATGAACGAACAAGAGTCCTCTCTGAATTCATTATGTATATCTTTTCAGCTCTTCATTTATATAACCCAAGACTCTCTTCCTTCTTTTTGTTCTTCATCTTTCTTATTTTATTTTTTCTTTCGTTCCTTTTTTTATCAATTACTCTCACATGGTATGAGCGAGCTCGAAGCTGAGTTGATTGAACTCTCGCTGTTTCTCGCTCGCGTTCGTTGCGTTGGAAAAATCAAAATGCCAATCGGTCACTTTCTCTTGATAAACGCTCAAGAATGCATAATCGTACGGGTGATCTTCTTTGTTTGCTAATATTATACGTAAGCAGCTCTCTGGCGGCAAAGGCAAAAAAGCGAGAGAAAGAGAGATTGACACTACAGATCGGAAATTGTGTTTGGACGGATTGTTTACTATATGCTAGAACAATCACACTTATTTATATACTACTCTCACTCGTGCTCGCCGTATGGAATTTTTTTCTGCATTTTAATTAAACTTAGTCGAGTGTCTCCCTTTGCACATGTCTGTATTGCGGCCTGCACACATGCTGCCGCCCAGAGAAAGAGCATAGAGTTCCATGATGCTAGTCTCGCAATTTGTACGTCGAAACTCCAACTGCTCCGCTCGATATAACATACATGTGCATGTCTGACGAAATCAAGATTTGATCTCCTCTCTCTTTTCGCAGGCCATCCGATTGCCGGGCAGCTCGGACTATCCCGACAGACTCGATATGAGCGATACGGGCATGTCGAGATTACCCGAGGCCGTGCGTACGTACGCCAGCGGCCTACCCAACAACAACAACAATAATAATAACAACAACGACGACGACGAAAATGATAATAGAAACAACAACACCAACAATAACGTAGCACTGCGAGAATTTTTTCTCGGCAATAATCAGCTAACTACTTCGAATGCCAACCTCGAGCTTTTACAAAGGTATGTATACTTTAACCTATCGCAAGTAGTTCATTAAAATTATGTTTTTTTATTTTATTATTAAAGTATAAGTGTAAAATTTACCGAAACTTAATAGTAGCCCTGATAAGTCACGCCATAAAGAATAACGTTGCGCGTTATTAAAAAAGCTCGAACCTCGCGACTCTAGTCGACATTCTTTTAAATGGATATTGGCAGTTGCGAAATGGTCCGAAGATTAAATTCTTCGTAAAGGCCAATGTTTTTAAGTGACGAACTTTCGCAATCGCTACTACTCCTCGCTCACGGCTAATCGCCGTGTCAAAACACTTATTAGTCCCTGCCGCGCACGCGCGTAATTGCCTCGCAGGCCCCTTTCCTGCAATTAAGAACTTTAATAAAATAAGAAAAATTCGCGGCTGGTCATCGCTCGCCTCGCACGCAGGGCTGCAGTGGTGCGCCAGAATAGCTGTTTCTTGTTTAATCTAACGAGAACTTTTTTCCTCGCAGACAAGTTTCGTTCTTCCCTTCGGCCCCGAAAAAAGAAGCTTTTCTGTTTCTCGACTTGACGTAAATCTGCAGTGCTGCGCGGGCGTGATTTATCCTCGGCATCGTTAATTGCAGCAAACGTAATAATAAGGGTGTTTCTTGTTGTGTGCTCATCATTTTATTTCGATGCAGTTTTCCGGAGCTGCAAGAGCTTCACTTGGAGAACAATCGACTGGACCAAGTGCCCTCGGAACTGCTGAAGCTGGAGAGCCTCGTGTACCTGGACCTGTCGGACAATCGGATCCAGTGCCTGCCTCAGGAAATTCATCGACTCGTCAAGTAAGCGTAGCAGTCGTTTAACAGCTGGGATCTAATGAATGCGTATGCGCAAGCTGTCGACACGCACAAATGGGGCCACGCGCTACTTGTGGATTTATTTTCGCTCCCCTCTCCAACTAACCTCTCGTCTAGATTGCACTCGCGAGCTCGCGCGGAAAATATTACAATAACGAATTACGAAAATTGCTTATAACTGTACTCGAATATATATGTATGCTCGCGTATACGCCGCAAAGTTTCCTCGCGAACTATATGTAAATATATGTAGCGCATATACCGACGCCCCTCCTCGAAACTTCTGCTACTCGAAAAATATACAAGCGCGAGAGCGCGTAATAACAAAATTCCAAGTTTTCAAGTGCGAGCTTGCAGCAAGATAGATGCAGCGAAAGAGAGAGAGAGCGAGAGAGTGGAGTGAAGCATCCATTTAACCTAATGAAAATCAAATATTTTTTTTTATAGAGTAATTTCGGGCGTTGGGAACTCGCGTAATTTTTTACCTCACTTACCGATGATTGTGTACGCGGATACACGACGAAAGCCAATCACCGATACTATATAGTCGTGAAGTCATTCATTAAGCACTTTTACCCTTGTCCAATACTCGGCGCGTAAAACTCCTGTACTTGCAGGCGAGCAAAGAAATTCGCTTTGGACAACTTTCTCCTCGACCAGTGTGCGCCATGTATAGTTCACTGCATACATAGCTAAGAAGAAAGAAGGTAAAAGTGTAGTAGAGTGAGAGAGAGAGAGAGAGAGAGAGGGAGAGACGGGAGGGCGATGGCGTGGAAAGACATCGGTAATTGGCATCCGCGCACTGACGGCGCTAGCACTGCAGTGCGCAGCCCGCCTTCTCTTTTCGGAGGATCTAATGAAAATTTGCTAGTACCAGCTAGAGTGAGAGAGAGAGAGAAAGAGTCATCGAGCTCGGTTCTTTGAAAAGAGAACTAGTTTTCGGGATTCGCGACTAACGAACTCTGCCGCTATAAGCGTAGCTGTTCCCGCACTACACTCCTCGTCCTCTTCTATACTCGGCCGCGTGGCGCGCTCTAGTCTGTGTGTGCATAGAGAGAGAGCGACGTGTAATTAGCAAACGGACCATCTATCGCGCGAAAAGTTATGCTGCCCGCAAAGTTGGCGAAATTTTCCCTCCAATTCCTTCGTTTATTAAAATTTACGGACAAAAAATCCTTTACGAGAGCTTGCACAAGTTGACTCGTCAATTTTCTATAAACTTGCGCGCGAGCTCGAAAGAATATGATTGACCGATAATCGGCTACATCCATCGCTTTATAAAAATTAGAAAAACTCCAAGCGGATAACTTATGAGACGATTTTATACGTATGTGCATGCAATATAATCTGTCATCGGAATACACAACTAATAACGCATTTAAGCTCGAGGGCAACAACAATATAACGAGACGCGAGCTGCGATGAATTGTGATTTATGGGCCAGTGGGCGCGTCTGAAGCATAAATGCGTCCTTTCTGCGTGTATATATATCGTGCGCTGGACTATTCATGCACTGTATACTGCTGCTGTTGCTGCTGCAGGCCCACCGCGTCATTGTAATAAATGACAAAATTTAATTAATCTTCGCGAACACCAGCTCGACGTAGCGCAGTACGCCAGCAGTTTTCGTGTTTATTACCGCGTGTCGTATATACGAGATGCGAGGATTTTTTTATCTTTTTACCTCGCACTTTCTTTTTTATCCTTCTTTTTATTTTTTTTCTATTAAATTTACATTTTTTTTCGTGTAACTAAATTATCGATTTATCCTCGATGTCGAGCGCACATTCATATTACATATAGCTGAACTGCATACACCGAGATCGAAGATATCGAGTCTTTTTTTTTGTCGAAGCGAAAAATTCACAAGGTTGCGTCTCGCATAAAGCTGTCATATGATGCTCGTCGCGCAAGCTCTGGAGTATCCTGCTCCGAAAAAAGTCGATGACGCATGTGCGCCCGTAGCAATATATTTCGCGTGCTTTACGATACTTGTTACCGCTAGTGTGTCGCTAGGTCGTGTCAATACACCTAGACTCTGTCGAAAATATGTCTCACGGTGACTAGAGATATTTTTCCGGCTTTTCAGAGTCTCGCGTATGTAACCGCAAAAATTATTAACCCATGTAACTGACTTTAATAATCTCATCGAAATAAGCTACAGGGTTAAATATCTTACGAGCTCGCTTGTAATACATACTCGATGCATGCGACATCGTGGATGCCACAGCAGCGAATTGCGCGCTACAGCTGAAATGCGAAATATTTCAGCTTCGCGATGCTCGGCATTGCGCAGTCCTCGTTTCTACATAGTTATAGTACGTCCATTGATATTTCGCAAGCTTATACGGCCCTAACGTAATGCGTCTTTTTCCAATAGTATATAATGTAGACCCAGCACGAGTATTAATGATTTTCCGATAAATATCGAGCGACCGATAAAGATTTTTTCTTACAATGTGCTGAATCAAAAATTAGCTCAATCATTGATAATTGAAAATTCTACCTTCCGAGGTGATGGATGATTTTACGCTGTAGAGATACGAGCAAAAAGGAGAATGACGTCGAAAATGTATTGCGCGAGTACTTTGTGAGGCACGCGGCGTTACCTTTTAGTTCAAGGATATTACTTACGCTTCACTTATCAGGCTAGAGAATTATACGCATTAAAATCAGCCAGTTTCCACGCGTTGCAATAAATACGCTTATATAACAAAGGGAAGGATCGTTTCCATTTCGATGGCCGCTTCAACGGGTGATATTGCTGCTACATGCGTGAAACGTGCCAGTTAGAACGCGGCGCGCGCGCGAGATGCGACGATGAATCTCTCAATTATCCTTTTTGACTAACCCACGTGTGAATGTCTTTTGTTCTGCAATATATACTTATATGAATAAGAAATGGAACTTTCGTGCGAAAACTTGGATTGGAGCTTGCGCATGTCACTGCGTGGCACTTTTTCGACGAGTCGAGAAACACACTCGCACACATTATCACCGCAATACGAGCGGTACGCGGCCACATTTGCACGTGCAATTTTCTAAGTCAGTATGAATAAAAAACAAAAAAAAATCAACGAATATAAACATTGTAAGCGTGCGCGCGCGTGTACGTACGCGTGATAAAAATTCAAAAACTCTTGCAAGCTCGCACACGAGTCGTGGCTGCATAGATATATAAAGCTCTATATATGTGTGTAGCACAAAGTATCGTGCGCATGGGTGGAAAAAAAAAGGAAAGAAGAAAATTCCGAAACAAAATCCTGCGCAGCGGTGGAGCTCGTGTATACGGGAGGCAAACACGAGCGCAACTTTTTTTTCTCTCTCTTTCTCCTTTTCTCCCAACTATCGTACGAGATCTAGGACAATCTCTCGTTCTGTATGATGCACACACACATAGAGAGACATAGAAATACGTGGAGAGCGCAGCGTGTGCAATCCTACTAATCTATACCTCCCCAATGCAAACTTTGCACTGCACTCGATAAAAGGATATCGGTGTAATTCACACACGCTGGGCTCACACAATTCTATATTTTCGATGGATCGATGATATATACACACGCTGCACGCACACACTGGGCAAATGTATACGTAGAAGCTCCTTTCGTCACATTGTCTCCGGGGTGATTTGTCGTCTCGCTCGGCTCTTTTCTACCTTTCTGTTATTCGAGCTTGAGATATTGCAATTCCCAGATCCGCTCGCTCGAGCCCGAGCTAACTGCAGTGTAAGCTTTAGAGTCGTTGTTGCGTCTCGCGCAAGCTGTATACCCCATGGGCACACGCACACGCTTATCCTGCTTGACTGTATTTCTATTTATATATTGCACTGCCTAGCTATATACGTCCGACAAAGAAAGAGAGAGAGAGAGAGAGAGGTTTCGCCAATGTACACCTTTTTTTTCTTACATCCTCGCGAAGATTTCATTTCGCCGAACGAGCTTTCGTTTCCAGCGCCATGGGTCTTTGTAATTATCCATTGAGTTTGTTCTGCGTGAGTTTCCCTATTTTTTTTTCGTACTATACACGAACGCCGTAATAACGTCCGAAGCTTCTGTGGTATGAAATCGTTGGGATGCTCTCTATGAGGTTTCATTTTTCTTTACTACGTTTGATTAAAATTGAAACGTGAAATGAAAGTATATAGCCAACGTGTGAAGCACGAGCTTTTTCAAGTGCACTCGAGTTTTAAAAATGATTAAATAATTTTTTGAAAAACTCGTCAAAAAATGTTTCTTCCGTACAAAGCATGATGTTAAAAGTGAAAATATAGCTTTGTGCTAGTATAATCACGCATCTTTCGTCTTTCAAATTTCATGCGTTACAATGGCTCAAACATTTTTCGAATTAAAACTTCAAGACGAAAATTTGACCTAGATTTTGTAAACTTGAGAGGAAAAGTGAGAGAGAGAGAGAGAGAGAGAGAGAGAGAGAGAGAGAGAGAAAGAGAGAGAGAGAGCGCCGGAGAGAAAGATTCGAAAAGTTCTCATCAAAAGCTAATAAAAATAAATCAAACCAACTGCTTATACGACAGCTTGGTCGAGAGGAAATTTTTTTAATGCAAAGTCCATACGAATATAGCTATATTCAGGCCCGCAGCTTTGGAAAAGAAAAATGCGAGCAATTTTCACGATGAACTTATATAGCGGACAGGGGTGCGAGATAGAAGTGGAGATGCAAGCAAATGAGGCGATGCCTAATTCTTATTTGCAGCAAATTGCCGTTAGCCGAATATTTTCTGAGAGCTGAGCGAACGCGTGCGACAACCTCCGAGTAGTTCTTTTCATGAATCGAGTAATTTCGCGCCCTGGTTATATTCAAACTTAGTCCTATGGACAATTTTTTTTTTTTAATCTAGAACGTGCGTATATATAATGTGAAGGGGGAAAAAGTACAAAATTGGAGAACTCGAGGCATATAAGTAGAGAGATTATTTTGCAAGAGGTATGAAGAGTGGCTGTACATTTTCCATGATTTAGCGAATT